TGTCTACTCCCTCCTAGTCATTACTTTGTAATATTTTTATTTGTTTACTATTATGAATCCACCCATACCACACTGTATATGTATGTTTAATTTGTGTCTCTATCAATTCTGTAGCTATAGCACTTTGCTACATGTCTCTCTATCTCCAAAAATGTCTTAATACATGTAATTATCAATGTTACCCTTCATATTTAAAACTATATTCCCAAATAGTTACAAACTTGATTCTAAATTCCTTTCTATAAGGGAGTCTCTATATGCATCATAAAAAATAAATACACCACCTTCATGAATAAAAAAAAAAAAGTTAGATTAAGCATCACACAAAAAACAGTTAAATTGTACCTCTCATTTCATTTTCATGCTCTTCAGCTCTAATGTAGTTGATTCTATCTATGGGTTGCTCTCCAATATTAGTTGCAAGTGCTTGGTCTGTCATGCATTCCGCTTGTTCATCTGTTGTTGATTCAGCAACTTCAACTCCAAATAATTGAGAATTTGATTGAAGAAAATTTTGATTAAAGAAAATTTTGATTACTCTGTTGAAAAGAAGTTTGCTGTGAATATTCTTCAAATTCTGCAAGTAAATCTGATTCTGTTGTAATCTTTGTACAATTTTTCTCTTCCATTAATCGCTTGCTTGTGTTGCTGTCGTTCTTGCATCAAAGTTTTTTGAGATAATGACAGGTAAAAGAAAATGAAAACAATATAAAAAAAAGTAATGAAAGCAAAGGGATTTGCACCATTTTGTCTTCTAATTTTTGTCCTCCTTATTTCTTGCCTTTGAGCTGAAGTGAGTATTTTCTTGGCTTTCTTCAATTGTCCTTATTATTTTTGAGAAATTCTTGTGGCAGAATTGCTTGACTCAACAATTTTCATTCGTCTACCATCCTGTGTTATTCCTGTGCATATAGACCTTCTTAAGGAATAGTTTGCTTAAAAATTGATGTATTAAATTAATTTCAGCATTATTAAAAAGATAAAAATACCTTTCATCACATTCTCCCTTGTACTTCTTAGCAAATAATCTTCAAACTCAGACAATAAATTTGCTCCTGGTATGATTCTACTGTATTCATAAACTTGTAACGTTCCATTTCCTGCATTTAACTTAATGCTTAGCTCTTCTAGAAGTATAGGCTACAATTCAAAGTTATTCTATAAATAATATAAAACATAGCAGGTGATATTATTTTAGTAGAAGCTACTCAAAGAAGATTTTCTGTTAGTGTCCCCAATGTCTCTACTTTTAAAGGGTTTACTGGTATTTTCCCTCTTTCCTTATCAGTTGTTGCAAAACTACAACTTTGATTTAAATTTCAACAAAAAATGAAAAACTTAAGGAAATATTCTCTACCGTATGAACTGCAATTACAGCACAAATATAAATAGAATTT